TCAATATACCACATAACACCTTTGAGCGCTTAGCCTTGGAGCAGGTAGAATGGCGATCAACGTGTTTTAGTGGACTCAGCAATTTTCAATCTGCTTGTATGAATTATCTTCAAGAAGCGAGAGCAACATCTAAAAGATCAGCCAATCTAACAGTGATCTCATCTCACAATCCTCATACTTGCTTCATATGTGGCCTTCTTTGTAAATCACTAAATGCCACTTAAGATTATCGCACAAAATTCCATAACTGAATCAACTAAGCTATCAGATCCGCATACGTCGTAACCGAAGGGAAAGTCCATTATTATTATATGCAATAAATATATATGATTAAAATAAAATAATATAGCCCTACGTAATACCGACAAATTTTTTAATTTTCATTATATAATACACATGTGTGTAATTAAACAAAATGTAACCGTAACCACAACACTAACCAACGAAACGGTTCACCACCGGGACTTAGATCAGTTTTCTGAACCCTTTTCAGCCTATGGACCATTTTTCAGAATATTCAAATGAACCATTCCTACTTTTACTTTAAGGCTGTTCAATTTTCACAGGAAAATACTCAATGAAAAGTCAAAAGTAGTCTATTTCAATTTAAAATTTATTTTAGTAAATAAGGATAAACATAGAATATCAAAATCAATTTTGATGATGTCATTCCGTCTTAGTCCATTCAACTAGTGACTACATTGTTCTTGGTGTTTCTGACGCAATATGATAAAAGATAAAATAAATATAACACTGCCTAATACCTATGTAACTTCGAATTTTTCAAATATAATGGAAATGTATGTAATTAAATAAAATGTAAGCCTAACCCTAACCCTAACTAATGAAACGGTTCACCACTGTGACATAGATCAATCCTTCTCAATCCTTTTCAGCCCATGGACCATTCTTCATAATATTCAAATGGACCATTCCTACTTTTACTTTTAGGCTGTTCAATTTCCACACTACTCAATGAAAAGCAAAGTGGTCTATTTACACTTTAAAATTTGTTTTAGTAAACACGGATAATCTCACAGCACTGCATAATACCTAAGTAATTTGGAAATTTTGAAATATGATGGAAATGTCGGTAATTAAAAAAAAAATATTATATTTTTTTAATTGTTCAATGGATGAATAATTTAGATACTTTTTTTATGAAATGGCTACATTTTTTATAGCTACGAATTCTCAGTGGACCACTAAAATGCTATGTGAACTACCGGTGGTCCACCATGTGGAGAATCACCAGTCAAGAATCTTATAAAAAGAACATATAATTGTCCATCATCCATAAAGATAACATGTTCTGGGAGTATGAAATCGTGAAACTGTTTGAAAGCCAAGCAAACGTAGTGGTAGAAAATGATATGTTCATTTGATTAAACATATGAAGAAATAATGAAACTTTGTACTTGAAATTCACTTAATGATACTGCCTATCTTTTCATAATTCTATATTTCGATTCGAGACATATGCAAAAGAAAGATTCTAATATTGTTTGCAAAATATTATTAATTAATTTTATAGTTCACTGGAGGCACCTGGAGAAATTATGCATTTACCTGCGTGACACTGTCTAAGCTAATAAGAAAGGAACACGTGAATAGACAGGTTAGAGGTTGAGTATCATCTGTCTTTACTTTTAATCATTTCTAGACATGTTCTGTTCGCCCTCGAGACACGATCTTTGCTGACACTTATTGTATAAACTGCAAGTCTGAGCCGCGACTGCACCAATTCATCTTTGTCACGCTGTACGAAATAACTCGTATTTTGTAATATTGTCTTAAGTAAAAGTTTTTCCATTTAACTCTTTCTACAAGACCACATCGTTGACAAACCGGAATCTATGTAGATATTTTTTAAACTTCGTTTAGTTCTTTAGAGCAGAGAAGAGATTATGTTCCGCCAATCTCCCAAATGCGAAGTCTTTGTAGGCATTGAACCTCACTTTTTGAAATCTGAGATGTTATTCATTCTGTAACGTTAGCGATTAATACATGTTTTGCTTACTGATAAGGAAGTTATTAAATTATCGCTTAGTCTGTTATGACACTGTCCGGATTAGAGAGCAGATATGACGTCAGAATAACTGCGATACTCTTTTCTGGCCAAGTGCTTTTTTCATGTTGGGTAAAAAGCGAGAGTGTGATTAATCAGTTCAAAGGCAGTCATGTTCAGCAGCCATTGAATATTACTCTCAATTGATAGTGAACCTAAGTTGGCATAGTACTCTCAATTGACAGTGACCCTAAGTTAGGATATTATTCTCAACTGATAGTGACTGTAAGTTGGCATTGTTCTCTCAATTGATCGTAACCCTAAGTTGGGATATTACTCTCAGTTGATAGCGACTGTTTTGTAATTAGTCAAGAAACACGATGCCTTTTGCATCTCAAACCAAGTAGAATTTCACTATAAAAAACTACATTACCAGGTATTATTTATCGTCAAAGTTAATCAGATTTAAATTCTATTGCTAAAAATTATATATGTCACGTTTAAAAATGGATATACGGTTACCAAAAAATTGTTTTAAATATTAAAATAAACTAGCTTTTGTAAAATGTGAAAAGAGATATGCGTGTTGTGTTTAAACGTAACCATATTACTCAAAATGTTAATAAAAACAATCTAATAAATTTGAAAACCTAAACTTATTATATCTGACAACACTAATATCACGCCTGCTGTAACTACATATGGCTTGTACAGAATGTAATTCCTTATAAATTTGCGTAAGGCTAAGTATTCTCAGTTTGTCTCGTACTTTAATGCAGTAGAAAACAAAACAGCCTACATTCTTAACAAGTACAAACATCTTAGCAGTCGTTTTTATATATTACTAATATATAGCCTTTACTACATAAGTGGTAATAGTTAAAATGTGTAACAATATTTTTTAGAAACATATTTTAATAAATATTTAATTTATGTTATTTTTTTAATTAAAGTTTTCTAAACTGCCATAAAGAAGAGTGAGGTGAAAACTACCTAGGCTAACCAAGAAGTGATGCTAGAGATGTGAATTAATACTTGGATTAATTTCAGTTCTTATTAATGTCTGACATTTGAAAGTTCAAAGTAACTAGAAGCGACTTTTTATGAAAATTGGACAGAATTTAACATCGTGGCGTGATCCAGTACCTGTAGAAATGAGTTGAGTCTCCAAGTCCATTCATGTTGACAAGGTTGCGACATTATGCACCGGCTTTCTCAACAGTGAAAGAGGAGGCAGCTGAATTTAGGAAAGGAAGGAAGGGTCTTGAAGGAAACGCAATGTCTAGACGTCCTGCAACAACCACCATCGAGGAAAACATTGATCATTTTCACCGCGTGGTGATGGATGGCAGGCGATTGACTATGCTATTAGCATATCTTGTGAGAGTGTGAAGAATATTCTGCACAATGAACTTGGCATGATGAAGCTTTCTGCTCGCTGGGGGGGCCACGTCTTTTGAGAACTGATCAAAAGCGCACCAGGCTGATCATATAAATGGGAAAATCTGACATTGTTTGAGGTAGACCCAGCTGATTTCCTTGAAAGTTTCCTAACACAGGGGGAATGATAGGTTCACCACTTTGAGCCAGAGACAATCCTTGCGGTATAACTCACCAGCTCCAAATTAGGCCAAGGTCGTTACATCTGTAGGGAAGGTGCGGGCTCCATTTTTGCTGATGCAAAATGCATTGTGTTTATTGAATATCATTAAAAGAGACACACCTATGTCGACATGCTGAAACCCCTACAAAATTGATAGAATTTTGCACGTCTCTCAGAATGTTGACATAGCCGTGTCCCTTTTAAAGATATTCCATAAACGCCCAGGAAAACTGATAAAATATGTCCTTGCTTCATTAGGACAATCGTTAGTCAGAAGACCGCGCATTTTCCCAATTACTTGGCACAATACATAATCAGTTAGTTAAGTGCCATATGATTCATTACTGACTAGACAGAAGATTTTCCTGCAGTTTCTTTCTGCGGTAGTCTGGTTTCCAGCCAAGGCTATGGGACACAGTGTATCCTGTTATTCAACTCATAGCTGGGGAGAAGAGAGATGGATGCATACCTTTCTAATTGGCGCTAAAGTGATCTAGCGAACCCGAATGGAATTTGAACTCGGCTTTCCAATTTCTTACTCCAAGCTGTTATCCATTACACTATATGTCTATACTTAACAGCATTAGTATACAATTTAAATTAGACTATTTTCTTTCGCTTTGGGTGTACGCGTTGCTAACCTCCATGTTTTGATATTTCGACTACCTTCCATTATTTTGTGGAACTGGATGAACTATTTTCGGATGATATCATTGTTCTGTTTTTGGCTCGGATCTCTGCAAAGTATTGTAAAACGCTTTCAATCCGTCCGGACTTTTACGAAATCCTTAACGTTTAAGCTTCCCTGGCAAGGATTTGAGTTGTAAAGAAACATGGAGTAGAAATAATCAATTAACGATGACAGCGATCTGGTTTACAGATGTTGAAATCGTTAATCAAATGCGGAATTTGACTTGCATTACATCCCTTTTTTTAATTTGTTGTCTTGTTTGCAAGACATTCATTCGATTTTATCTCCAACTGAGATTTAAACCTTAATCGCTTTAAATACTTGACGATGTTGAAAAATATTTGATGATTTACAGGAGGCGAAGGGTACGAAACAATAAAGTTAAGAATATCAGGAGAAAGAGTAGAGTTAAGGAAAGAGTAATAATGATTTACATGAGGGCAAGGATGAGGAGAAATAGGAGGTTAAAATGGGAGAATTACAATAGGAGGAATAGAGAAAAGGAAAGAGTAATAATGATTTACATGAGGGCAAGGATGAGGAGAAATAGGAGGTTAAAATGGGAGAATAATAGTGGGAGGAATGGAGTGAAGAAAAGGATTGATAATGATTTACAAAAGTGGAAGGATGAGGAGAATGAGGGGTGATAGAAGAGGATAACAATAGGAAAATATATAGTAGGAGAGGGTAATAATGTTTTACAAAAGTAGGAGGAAGAGGAGATAAATTTGATGATAACAGTAAGAAAAATGAAAACAAGGAAAGACGTATAATGATTTAAAAGAGTTTAGGGATGATGAGAAAGAGGAGGAGGTTAAGTTATGGAAATAATTGGAGGGAGAATGGAGTGAAGAAAAATATTGATAATATAAATTCGGTAAAGGGGAAAATAAGAAAAGTATAGAAAAATGGTGAAGAAAGAAAGAAGGAAAGAAAAAGAAAGACAAGAAAAGAACGAAAAAAAGAAAAGACTAGAAAAGAAAAGAAAGAATGAAAAAGAAAGATATGAAAAAGCTGTGTAGAATAAACGTATAAAATAAACTAATGGTAAAGAAAGAAAGAAAAAAGAGAACAGAAAGAAAGACAACGAAGAAAGACAATAAAAGAACGAAAGAAAGAAAAAAAAGAAAAAATGAGAAATGAAAAGATAGAAAAACGCGATGGAAAAGGTGTGTTGAGTAAAAGGTTAAATAAACTAATGGTAAAGAAAGAAAGAAAGAAAGAAAGAAAGAAAGAAAGAAAGAAAGACAAGAAAGAAAGACAAGAACGAAAGAAAGAAAGACGAGAAAAGAAAAGAAAAAAGAAAGAAAGAAAGACGAGAAAAGAAAAGAAAGAAAAAAGAAAGAAAGAAAGACTTGAATGAAAGAAAGAAAAAAGAAAAGAAAAGAAAGCAAAACGCGATGAAAATGTGTGATTTTATTAAATTAATGCTGAAAAAAAAAGACAAGAAAAGTGCGAAAGAAAGAAGACAATTAAAAAAAAGAAAGGGATGATATTTTTTCTCTTTTTAAAAATCGTTTGCTTGTTGCCGTGAATCTCCCATAAGCAAGTATTTCATAGAATGCCTTTGTGATATTCTGGATTTGACAAATGGGAAAAATCTGCTTTCAAAAACATTTTCTGATGCTACGTCCGTGCAAATCCGTTCTTCGTTAATAAACGCTGTATAAATAAAACTTCGTCATATACTGTGTCATATTTGGAAGATTTCGGGGAATAAAATGGGTTCATAAGTCAGCACATATCGAGATATTTACTAAACTTGTAAGAGTCAATAGAAAAGGTTGCAACATTCCTACAAAATAGAAAGGTTGACGTTGCTTGAATAGCGGGATTGGAATTATTGTTGATGTCACGGTTCAAATATTTGAATACTGCGAACAACTAGCTGTGATGTCTACAGTACTATGATCAACTCTATTAAATTTTCATTCTTTTAAGATGGCGTCGCCGACTCATTTCTCCCTTCAAAACGCCACAATTCAGAATTTAAGTTCATTTCCGGTTAAGAAATATATTTTCTTTCATAAGACGTTCAATGATCATGATCATTAGTCGTTAATTTCAAGTTTTTTTTTGTTTTGTTTTTTAAATACAAAAACAAATGTACCGAATACGACATCGTTATATCATCATCATCATTATCATCATCATCATCATCATCATCATCATCATCAGTCACTCAACACCTTCAAACATCCAATTTCCCGACCATAGACCTTGCTGCTGGATGAAGTTTATCGTTATTGTAAGTCGTTCTGCATGGAATAACTGATAGAGCCTATTTATTCATTTTTTTTCTAGATCATTCTTATCTCAAATACGAGTATCAATTTCGTCAGCATAGTACCACTAACCATTAGTACATTTTCCTCTGGAGGGAAAACAGTAACCTTGTCTCTGTTAGTAGATTCGTTTGAGATGCGATATGGAATGTTTGTTACTCTCTGTGCTTGTATATGGGTAGAGCTTAGTCTAGAAAGAGATTACATAGATTGAAGCGATCATTTCTGCCTTCTCTTATTCTTCAAGTCTTTTGAAATGATCCTGTGTTTGAATCTTCACCAAACATATTCAGCTTTGTGGAACGATATATTTCCTCCATACGATCACAGCATTTAGTGAAGTCAGTCATTTTGGAAGACGGTTTTATGATGGATGAAAAAACGTTTCTATTAGATAAGCACGCTATTTCATTATCATATATTGCTTAATGAAATATATGATCTCATTTCACCCTAACATTTTTATGTAGCCGATCATGGGTAATCTGACATGAGATCTGAAATTCGCTTGAAATTGGCTGAGCATTATATTACATCAGCTATACAAGCTAAGAGAAGGTTCGTCCTCACATATCTTTCTGATAGATGGCTCTCCACAATTTCCTGTCATTTGTAGCTCTTAATAAATTTTGTATATTTTTGTTGTTTCTCCTAAACCCTGTTCAGATATGCATTTAGTAAATCTCATTAAGTATGCTATTCGTTGTTTGCATCTATCTTCACTCTGTCCTGTGTGTATCAGATTTTTTAAAACCTCTTTCCTGATTATGTTCGCTAGCAATTTCAACCGTCTTCACTTGGTGTTAATTATAAGAATCCTTTTTGTTTCCATTTTTTCCATACCTTCGTTTTGCTCTCATGTTTGGTTCATGGTATTCTCAAAATCCTTCTGAAGAACCACATTTCTGATGAACCAAGTCTAGTCTTCATCTTTGAGACAATTGTCCAGCATTCACTACTATACAAAAGGACAAATATTACGAAACATTTTAGTTACGTTTCCGTGTTTCTAGCAAAGATTTCTATATCTTAATGATCTGCTTAGCTTTTGGAAAGCATCTTTGTCTATCTCAATACGTCTTCCGGTCGCACCGTCCGTTCTCTGTTAAAATACGTCCTAGATATTTAGATTTTTGTATTTGTTTGATTTTGGTATTTCAGATCTGAAATTCACACCTTGGGCTCATACTCTTGCTAACAACCATGCATTGTGTCTTCTTGCAGTTGAGGTTTAGTCCTTTCTTCTCGCTTTCATTCAATACATTATGTGGGTGCTTTTGTAATTTTCTTTCAGTGTCTGCTATCAGCAATATGTCATCTATACATCTGATTTTGCTATGGCTGTGGACGCCAAAAATGAATGATGGTAGTACTTCTAATTCACTCAGAATAGCCTCAATGTGGTAGGTTGACTAGGTTTGATTAAATGATACATCCATATCTTACACCTATTTCTTTTTTTGTATATATGCTGAACTCATTTTCTATAAGTATGCGGTTTGCTACCAGTATAGGTTCCGGGTTATTCTAATAGAGTGAAAGGCAAATTCATTTGTTAGATGATGATATTCATAGAATGGTGAGAGACTAGTTATTAAAATACTTAATCTCCTTGAGAAGCAGACATCAATTAAGAAAACACCTTAATCGGTTAGAGAAGCAAACATCAATGTTGACAAAGCCTTAATCACCTTGAGAAGCCAACCACAATCATGACAAAGCCTTAATCGCCTTGCGAAGCAAACATCAATGATGGCAGAGCCATAATTGCCTTGAGAAGCAAACCACAATGATGACAATGACTTAATCACCTAGAAAGCAAAACTCAATGATGACAAATACTTAATCGGCTATAGAATTATACATTCATTATTATGACACCTTCGCAGATTTGAGAAGCAAACAGCAATGACAAAAAAGCCTTAATCACCTAGAAAAACAAACAACAATGATGAAAAGCCTTAATCGCCTAGAGAAGCAAACATCAATTGTTACAAAGCATTAATCGGCTAGAAAAGCAAATATCAATGATGACAAAGTCTCAATACCCTATATAGATCAAACGGAATGATGACAAAGCCTGGATGCCCAAGAGAAACAAACCTCAATGATGACAAATTCTTAATCGCCTTCAGAAGCAAACCACAATGATTATGAAACCTTAATCACTTTGAGAAGCAAAAATCAATGATGAAAAACCGTTCGTCGTCTAGAGAAGCAAACATCAATGATGACAAAACCTTAATCGGCTAGACAAGCAAACATCAATGACGATGAAGCTTTCATGTATTAGAGAAGGACACCTCAATGATGATAAAGTCTTAATCACCTAGATAAACAAAACTCAATGATGACAACGTCTTAATGGCCTAGAGAAGCAAACATCATGTTTGACAAAGCCTTAATCGCTTTGAGAAACTACCGCCAATGATGACAAAGCATTAATCGGCTAGAGAAGCAAACATCAATGATGATGAAACCTTAATCGCTTTGTGAAACAAACATCAATAATGAAAAAGCCATAATCGCCTTGAGAAGCAAGCATCAATTATGATAAAGCTATAATCGCCTTGAGAAGGAAACATTAATGATGGAAAATCCTTAATCGAATTGAGAAACAAACTTTAATGATGTCAATGTCTTTATCGGCTAGAGAAGCACACCTCAAAGTTGATAAAGCCTAAATCACCTAGATAAACACATCTCGATGATGAAAAAGCCATAATCTCCATGAGACGCAAACCTCAATTATGACAAAGCGTTAATCGGTTAGAGAAGCAACCTTCAAGGATAACAAAAACTTAATCGGCTAGAGAAGCAATCAGCTGTGATGACAAAGCCTTAACAGATTTGAGACGCAAACTTCAGCGATGAAAAACCCTTAATCGACTAGCCAAGCAAGCCTTAATGATGACAAAGACATAATCAACTGGAGAAGCAAACATGAATGATTACTAAGTCTTAATCGCCTAGAAAAGCAAACATCAATCTTGACAAAGATTTAAGAAGCAAACATCAATAATGACGAAGCCTTAATCACCTAGAGAAGCAAAACGCTATTATGACAAAGCTTTAATCGGCTATTGAAGCAATCCTAAATGTTGACAAATACTCAATACCCTAGACAAGCAAACCTCAATGATGACAATGCCTTAATCGCCTTGAAAAGCAGACGTTAATGATGACATACATTAATCGACTAGAGAAGCAAACATCAATGATGTCATTGCCCTAATCTCCCAAAGACGCAGACATCAATGATGACAATGACCCAATATATATATATATATATATATATATATATATATATATATATATATATGAAGAAATTTTGAAAAAAACAAACAAAAAATCCTTAAATGTAGTTAAATGAAAGAAATGTCGACGTCTGACGTTTCGGTTTATTAAACCTTTTTCAAGACAATATTCATCAAAATACAATTCAGTTCAATATGACAAATACGATGGACATAAAACACAAGTCTTATTCAGAACAGATAACTGAAAATTTTTAAAATGATCAGCCTTCCGTCTAACATGGTCACGCTGTCGTCACATGGGCGACGCTTTCATAACGTATTCCTAAATGTTTGTGATTATTTTGAAATGAAAAAGAAAAAGAAAATGAAAAGAATTCTATTAGGTTCTAAAATTCTTATGTGTATGCTTGTCGAGCATCAATCTCGCTAAAAAAGGAAAATATTAAAGAAATCAGGTCTAGTATTCTAGTATTTTTTGTTTGTTTTTTCAAAATTTCTTCATTCTGTCGGATTTATATCCATTTACACTTGCTTATATATATATATATATATATATATATATATATATATATATATTCTCTACGGTTCCATCTTGTTTACAATTTTCCTCGTGCTGTTGGGCTGATAGAGTCTCTTGCCATGCTCAAATGGTTAGCTGACTTGTCTCGCTAGATTTGTTACGACTTAAAATTGTGTTCGAGCCTCATTTTGTGCCCCTTACATTTGGCCTTGTGCCAAGTCTAAGCTACGCTGTTGGGCTGAGAGTCGTCAGTTCCTACTTTGGAACATCTGTAGCGTATGTTCCTTTAGATTAATCTCATGACCTGCACTTTCATTCAAGTGACATATCTCGTCTTTGCAATTTTTAGGAAAATGTCTCGATTTGTAAACCCTCCGAACATGATCGAGCATTTCTTGAATATTAAATGACGAACCATCTACTTCCATAGGATCATTAATGTTTTTCCTCATAAGTTTCCTCTGTAAAATTAATATTAATGGGCTCCATATGCCATTGATGGCTATACTTGGCTTGCAGAATTAATTGCATATAAGGCCTAAAATGTGCATTAATTGCTTCAACCATCTTATAATGTAATACCATTCAATGTCTTCTTAAATCATGAAGTAAATATCATGGTGAAAATACTTTCATTATAGCGTTATTTTTAGGGGTGAGTCTTTT